TGTAACAATGGAATGTGTTTGGCAGAAGCCACCCTTAAAAATCATTTATTTTGTGTCTATTTTATATAATCGCGCTTATGTAGAGTGTTTCCAAAAACGTGCAAGTATGAAAAGGAAAACTTGTTACATATATCTTACAATACCCAACTGTATCTGGGTTACAGCCATAATTCATGCAGTGGTAACGGAAGGCAAAAATGGTAAAAATAGTTTTGACCACACGTTTCGATATCTTGACAATGAAATACGGTTGATGTAAGAACGGTGGCGACATAGGAACTTGCTTTACGGTAAATCGGAATAAAAATAGGCGACGACAAGATTTTCATAAATCTCTCTGGAGTTGAAGTTCAATTTATACAACTGTAGCTATCAAAAGAAAGTATGTTATAACTAAATCCTCTATATAAATTTCGCGTAGTATAGAATACGCTCAATGCTGCGCCAAAATTACACTGGAAATGGCTCAAGGATGACAAAGGCATTCTATTTAGGGTTTTGTTGCTGGTGCGGTGCGGGTTCTGTGTGGGAGAAACTACGGGTCCGGTTGCGGGTGCGGTTAGGTATTAGGATAGGGTTAGTTTAGGGTTGGGATTGGGTTAGGCTATGCCAGGTTAAGTTATGGTTAAGGGTGTATATATATATATATATATACATATATATATATATATATATATCGTTAACTATCCTGTTTAGCTCTCGAAGAAAGTCTTGTTAGAAATTCGTCGCTTTTATTTTTAACAAGATGTGATATAATTCCTCTCCGTCCAAGGCTGAAGTGATACACGTTTATTGTTCTTTACAGACATGATTAAATTCCGTTTGAACGAGTTAACAAGAAACACGGAATTTCAGTTTGAGGTACGCACTTGCGCAAGAAAGGCGCACATTCCCGACTCGCGAATTAAAGTTGAAGGGGTGATCTCAGCTGCATTCGCGAGATGAAGCCGGGAGGGTGCCTTCTTCTCGCGAAGTGAGATTCCCCTTGGTCGCGCTCGTTGCGACGAAGCTCGAGGGAGAGAAGAAAAATCAGTTGATTAAATCCAACGTGGAGAACATCGGTCAGTTTGAGCGGCCACACGTGTCGGTACTTAAAATAAAACCCGGATGAGATTAATGGGGATTTATTGTACGCTGTTGGATTTAGCGCGCGAATTGGAGGGATGAGTGGAAAAAAATGGGAAACCCTTTTGAGAGTTGCCCTTCTCGACTAATTTGTCGACACCCCCGAGGGGTTGTTTTAACGAAACTATTGTTGGACTTCCGGTCGATATATTCCCGTACGGGTCCTGTGCATTCGTGTGCGACGGCGGAGAATCTGATTTTACTTGCTGGATCATGCGAGATAAGAGAAACGAGAATATTCTATGAGGAGCAAAAGGGAAAGGAGATAAAAGTGAAATTACTTGTTTCAAGAGTAAAAGTGCGAGACAAAAGATCATACGCCGCTACGAATAATTTCTCTGTGTCGATCGATGTTAAACGTTCCTCGCTGTCGTCACTGTGATACGTAGCCAGCAAATTCGCAGATATTAAATGCTCTCTTTTACTCGCATGTTTCTACACCATTTGTTACAACTTGTTACTTTTACAGAAGAGTCCACTTTAATTTTCTTAAGGGCAAGCGCCCTCCAAACAGACGTTCTACGTTTATTTACGCTTTCCTCAGTAGTTCCTGCAATAAGTAAAAGCAAGTAACTGGTGCAATGGTTGCACTATTTTGTTCATACGATTCCGTATCTGGTTTTTTCACTCAGCGAGTTAAGACAAATTGCGCGCGCGAAAAGCGAAATATTTGCATGATAATTAAATAACGAGAGCTTTTGTCTACAAAAAGCTACGGACTACTACGTCTATTATTTTTTTATTTTTTAAGTGACTCGGTAATGCAATTTTGTACGAGCAAAAGATATGCAAGAAGTATTTAGTATGCTTACGTTCTGAAATTCTATAACAATTATTTACTTAGTAAATTTTATTATTATTTATTATTTATTTAGTAAATTCTCTCTCTCTTTCTCACAAATGTTGTTACAATTTGACACAATTATATAATATTTAATTTATTATTATTTGTGTTTTGCTTAATTACTTTTTAAGATTTAATTTTATAAGCTTTAATTTAGACACAATTTTATTTCATTTCACTAATTTTCTAAAATATTATTACATTATTAAAAATTATTCTGTTCTTACATATAATAATAGCAGCTTTTTTACAAAAACGACGTTGTTTGTACGACGGAATTTGGAATTTTGTTGTACGTCGCGAAATTCAAAGTGCTTTAATTTTAAGTGCTTGAAAATAACTAGATCGTTACGGGGTTTCGGCTTTAACTGCTCTAACTTGACCTGCAATCACCCGTGGTGATCGCAATCACGGTTTCGCGTATTGTAAACACTCGCGTGCCGCGACTTATTTTCCTCGGCCATCTTGGCAGCTCGACAAAGAGGCCCGCCGAGAACACGTAGACAGCTCAACAGGTAGCTTTTAGAATCTCGCGCCCTCCTCCCCTCTTCCTCGCCGTCGTATTTTTCTGCCGGTCTTTCATATTTTACATGCTGCGCAGCGAGCTGTCACGCCTACACGCGTGGATCGCTCTTCAACGCTGCTGATACCTTCCACGCCGCTTCACCCTTTGACATCGAATCGATGATTGAATTTTGGCGGGACGTACACATATATCTCCACGTGTGTGTGTGCGATAAACGCGTTTAAATAAACTCATTCGTTTGCACATGCGCCTGTTTGTTTATCGAATCGCACAATGATTTCACCAGGCTGACTTTTTACAAGATATTTTCAACGCCCCCGTAGCACACGAACATTTGAAATGAACTGTCGCATTTTGAATTAGTTTGGTTTGAAACTGAATATCTGAATATATGCAAAAGTCTTGTAAAAATATCAGAATATTAACGCAAATGTATAAAAATAGCATGTTTGTCATTTCCTAACGTTCGATTATTACGTAAATTAATATTAAATTCCCTTTATCTGCAAATTTGATAAACTACCGACAGAATAGTCAATTTTTTTATTAAAAAAAAAAAATATTTGAAGAAATTTTACAATATTAAATTGTTACAAAAAAATAGAAGAGAACAAACAGAGTAATAAATGGTAAAAGTTGTTTGTTTCGCCATATCACTATTTCATCTGAATATCAATCTCCCGCTGGGAGAATTACTTTATTTCGATGAAAAATATAAACATGAATAGTGAAAAAAAACTACTAATTATGATTGTGCGCTGTCATTAACAATTATGATCATTCGATCGTTCGACGCTTCATATTCGGCTCACAATTATACACGCGATATATCTCGAACGAGCAAATAAAGCGTGATTCGATGCACCCCGAATGAACGCTATGCAATCAGACGCGGTTCGCGGATACAAAAAAAAGGAGTATATTTCTCGCGCGCGTAGCGATTCATCAACAGGCAGTTCACAAATTGTGTTCTCGCTGATTTATCGTTGCAGTCGTTCTCCGATTAGTGAATCTCAAGAGTTAAAAAATTAAAAGGAAGTGAAAAAATTCAGGATTTTCCGTCGTGTTTGCTATTCCTATGATTTCTCGTCGCATAATTGCGTTCTTTTCCAGTTTTAGCAGCTTTTGCTTTGGAGAACAAAAAATACCTCATCGTCTTGTTTTCCTATTTCAACGAGCCATGTTTGGGCGACAGCATCGTAACTCGTGTTGCCAATAACAGCATTAGAGTTGCGCTGTCCGTCCTCGTGGAATCCCGGAATCCTGAATGTCTCGCATTCAGCTTGCCCGTCGCATGTCTCGATGTTAGTGGTACACGTCATGATTGGTTGTTTTAAAGAGAGCGATGTTTTCTCCTCGCCGACAAAATGCCTGGACTCTTTGTAACACGTTCGGAATGTCATGTGTGACTCACGTGACAAAAGTTCGTTGCGTATCCTCATTCCGTCGAGCTTGCCTCTCGGCGAAACGTCCATACGAGACTTGATCACGTACATCAAGTTAATCCTTTTGCTTTTGTCGGATGCTGCACTGTCCAGAGAACTCGAATCTGATTTTGCGTTGATATCACCAATTAGAATTTGAAGCTTTTATTTTAATAAAGAATTCGAATGAATGCTTTATTAACGTGACAATATATG